CTGGAGCTCCAACAGCTTTCTTGTTTTGTAAGCAAGAAAGCCACACCCAAGAGATGACAGAGTTTAAAGAAGAAACCTGGGTCCTATGTGACCTTTTGATCTGTCATTCCAGCCCTGGATTGCCTATTTATATGCAAAAAATAAATAAACTTCTGTCTTGCTTAAACTATAGTCTTTCAAGTGTCTATTACTCCTTAATCCTGATACCTACAGCCTGTGAAGCACCATCTGATCTGGCCCTGATACTCTTTCTAACTTCTCTTATATGATCCTCTCCTTGCTCACTGTGCTCCAGCCATACTAGCTCATGCAAAGCTCTTTGCTACTTTTGTAGCTCTATGCACAAGCTGACTTCTTTCCCGGAAATCTCCTCCCTGAATCTCAATGGCTGCTCACTAAGGTCTCAGCTGAAATGTCACCTCCTATGAGATGGCTTCCCTGACCATCTTAACAACAGCTGCCCTCTTAGCCTCTTTCATAGCCCCATGTTTTGTTCCATTATGGTATCTGTCACCATAATTTGTAATTTACATATTTGCCAGCTTACTTTTTTATTGTTTGTCTCTCTCATTAGACCCTATTAGGGAGGGAGTCTCTGTCTTTTTCTATTTCTCGCTTATGTATATAACATATGAAATTCTCTCTGTGTCATAGATTACTTTGTACCTTGCATACAATAGGCAAGCTCACAAAATGTCTCTTTAAAAAATGCGCATTATTGTACTCCACCTTTATCTGATCTCTTTTCTCATTAATTAGACCAGGGGTTGGCAAACTTCTTTTGTAAAGAGTCAAAGAGTAAAAATTGTAAGCTTTACCATTTTTGTTGTAAGTTCTTCTTCTTTTTCCCTAACAACCCTTTAAAAACATAAAAACCATTCTTAGCTCAAGGGCCGTATAAAACAGGCTGAGGGTGGAGTTTGGCTATAGGCTGTAGCCAGCCAACCCGAGTGCTAGACTCTAAGTGTCTTAAGGTCAGGCCTGAGTTATTTACTTATATCCCGTGGGGCCCTAGCACAGTACTGAGCACACAGCAGGTTCTCAGTAAACTTAGAACTCAGCTGAATTAGTCAAATTGATTGGGATAGGGGTAGAAAAGAGAAAAAAATGAAACGGAACAGCTAAAATGGTCAGATTTGATCTAATAGGTATTTTGCCAGGGGTAAGGCCTAGGGTCCAGGCTGGATGACTCAAAGGGTCATTTACCAAGAAGTTACAGGTAGTGGGAAAAGACAGCTTCTCATGCAGTCACAGACTCTCACCTGCCTTGGAAGTCACAACCTCAGTACCCTCCCCTTCCAAGCAGCAACCCTGCGACCTTAGGCAGCTGCACTCCTTCCTGTGCAGCTGACTGGGGCCCATGAAAAAGAGCCAGTTTTCCCCAGAGCTTGCATTTGTTCTGTGTTACTGTGTCTTGCTAGCTGGTTCTCTTGTCACCCAGCATTCTGAAAAGCTGCTGGCTTACACAGCATCTACCTCTGGAGGTAAAAACAGCCTGGTAAATACAGAATTACCTACATAACCACTACAAGTAATTCTTAGATGATGACCAGGAAACCTTCCTGAAAACAGTTTCTGAATAACCCTGCTGTGGTTCCAAATCACGTGAGATGCTGATCATGAACAAAGGAAGGAAAGAAGGAATAAATGGAGGGAAATGCTCCGTGGCCACAATTACGGCCACAGCCCACTCCTGGAACTGCCAGAATGCCAGGAAGTTGTGGTGTCTCCTGAGAGGTCCTAGAATATGCACAATGGTTCCCTGCAGGGCGTTCTTGCTTCCGCACACTCTGGCAAAGCCTGAGGTCAGAGCCATCTGCCTTAAGAGAGGAGTGCCTCTTTCCTCTAGCATCCAAGATGCTCAGAATTATTGCCAGCACCTGCCCTCCTGAGTAGTCTTCCCGGACCTGGGCAGAGCAGAGGGTGGGGAGAGCAGAGACGTTACTTGGTGTCTTGCCACGTCTTCAATCTCCGTGGAGTAGTGAGCCAGCCACACAAGACTGGCTCCATCTCTAGGCATTTCCTCCTTTCTTTCCATGTTCTTGGGATCTCAGAGTAACTCACTGCAACGTTCTATCACTAAGTCTCTGCCACTCCATATTCACCTTCCCATCTTCATGGAAAGAAAAAAGGGAACAAGTGGTCCCTTGGGGGTTGTGACCACACAAGAAGATGCTTCCAAAAGAAGGTAAGTATCAGACGTTTCACTGTATAACTGAGTAAAATGTATTATTCGCCAAGCTTCGCTCTGACGGAGCAAGTCCTCCATTTCAGATACAAGAAAGAAGCAAAGGGGTGGAAATAATTTATTTAAAGACAGGCTGTGAGATAAGATGGAGCAGGAAACAGCACCAAAGCCCCTTGATGCACAGACAAGGTCTTATCTGCCAAAGAGCCAATTGGGCCCTGATGCTAAGAGACAAGGAACAAATCGCCTGGGGAGGAAAGGACTAATAGCCTGAGGAAACACTTTGCAAAAAATAAATTAAACAAACCGCAAGGCCTCAGAGGTGTTCTAATGAGTCCCTGGGGGTTCTATGTTTCTGAAGAAGGTGATCAAAACTCAGTGAAAATATGACTTTGAGACTTATTTTTACAAGTCTGACAGGAAAACTGAGAGAGTGAGGAAGAGAGGGAGCGGTAAGAAATACTGGACACATGGTACCGTGGACAAAATATTCTTTGGGGAACAGGCCTTCCAAAGGACAAGAAGCGCTGTAACACTGCACGCACTGAGAAGAGGGCTGGCAGGGGCTGGGCGGCGCGTGCTCTCCTGTTCCCGAACATCCCCCGTGCCAGCACCACCAGAACAACCATCCTTGAGCTGGATGCATAAACACAGGTTAGGAAGATCAGTGCCAAGTATAATTTTTCCTCCTTAAATCAGATATGATCTGACTTCAACTTTTTTGAAAGTGGAATCATGGCTAGGAGATCAAAATCAGTTTCAGGAAAAAGAGTTGAGATTTCATGCCACTTTGGAATGAAAAATACTGGATGAAACAGTCATCTAACTTATTGTTTGTGACTGTCCTTCTGTGTGTCCTTCCTTCTGTATCCTTCTCTCATAGCCACTCTGGGGGACCCTGACCGTAGCCACTACCATTTGCAACAGGGTACAGGTCCCTCTTGCTAAGCTGGGCTAGAAGAAACACACCAGACTGATCACTCAGGCAGCTGTCCAGGGTCATGAGAGACAAATCAAGCATACAATCGGGATCTGGGGTCCAGCTACCAGGCTAGACACAGAATCACTGGGATCAAGATGGGGCCAAGTGGAGGTGGCAAATGGGAAGTGAGAGCCCAGCAAGGAATTAACACTCAGAACAGAAAACCAAAGCCATGAGACATATGGGCCAGGACCAAAAGTGACAGCTGGAAGCACCAGGATGCAGCTCAGCACATAGGGCCACAGATAATGGTGAGCAAACGGGACTGCCAGGAGGCCTTGACTGTGGGGCTTCCTCCTCCTCCTGGCCCTGAGCTGGAGGTCAAGCTCATCTACTGATGTCTCCACGGGACTTAACAACCCGTGACATAGGAGGAAACTAAAGCAGAGGGAGGCTTGTCTTAGAGATTTGAACAAGATCATATAATTAGTTGAAGGCACACCCAAGATTAAAATCTCTCCCTCTCCAATTCTCTGTTTATCTGTGCACATAGTTAACACAGAGCAACATGCTTGCGCTTTTCAGATGCACTGGAAAAGATGGTCCCAATGGGAAACAAGCTATTGAGTAGAAGCTTCATATGAAGCGCGCATGACAAGGTGGTTATCACTGGGAAACACCTTGAAAGAAAGGGAGAACTTCTTTAAAGTATGTACAGCCAACTCTCAATTACCTCCATGTGGGTTATACCCTAGTAAGGTTTCCATTAGAGGCTTTCTTCCTTCAACCACTATGGACACTTTCAAGTTTCTTCTCCTACTATCTGTTGGTGCAAAGTCATGTAAGACAAATTAATTTAAGAACTATTTTAGCCTAAGTCAATCCCAACGAAGACGGCAAATCTGCTGAGGGAAAAAAAAATCCCCCAAGCCATTATCTTTACACCGCCTGATGGTTTGGCCAAAGCTCTGCTTCCTGAAACGGTCTGTTAAGGTCTAGGGTAGTTCCATACACTGAGTGAAGTCAACCCGAACCCACTGCTTTTCTGTAAAAGAAAAGAATCTTCCCTGGATTTGGGAGAACTGGAACTTCTCTGCCTTTGGCTGGAAGATTGGGTATTTTGCAGACCAAATTACTAAAGAATAAAGTGCATAGTTGACTTGTAACTTAAACCTGGCACCAGAGGTCACTGGCTCTTAAAGAACAAAGAAACAAACAAAAGAGACTCTAAATTTAAGCAAATTAAGCAAAAGCTGGACCAATGTTACTGACTGACTGATTACTATAATACCACAAGCATTTAAGTATGTCTACTATGTGGAAAACACGGAGTATTCATGTTAGGAATTCATTAAAACAGTGTCCCATCTTTAACATATATATTATATTATCAAAGTTGTAGATTTTTTCACTTACTAAGGATGACAACCAAATGATCAAAACAGTATGTTCTGAGTAATCCTGAAAGTTCTGAGGCCTGATCCTGGAAAGGTATTCTGAAAATGGAAATCTGTCTAGGGTAGGGTTTCTTAAATTCTGCACTCCTGACATTTCGTACTCACTAATTTTTTCCGTTTTAGGAGCTTGTCCTATGCATTATAGGATGTTTAGCAGCATCCCTGACCTCTACCTACTTAATGCCAGTAATGACAACCACCACCCCTGGTCCCCCACCCATTGTGACAAACAAAAATGTCTCTACACATTACCAAACATTCCCTGAATGGAAAATTATACACTGAAAACTACTGGTCTAGAGATATTTTCTCTTTAAGACCGTGCAGTAAATATGCCAAGTCAGGACACTGAAGCTTGTCACAGTCATTAATACATGCAGTTTAGTGCATTTTTAAATGTATGCTGACATGCTAATAGCAAAAGTATACTCACTGTGTACAAGAAAACAAAAATCTTTCCACATCAGCAACAGAGTGAGTTTTGTAAAGCCTTCTGCATCATATTCCACGACACCCCTAAGTAATAAAAACATACACACACAACAAAAAACCCTTATAAAAACAAGGTATAACAGAGATGGAACCAAGTAAAGAATGTCTTCATTAAGTCGGGGTTATTAAATCCGAGATGGATTTAAAACAAGTGAGTGTTACCACAGGAAGGATGTGGGATTTGGAATGAAAGTGTCCAGGTTGAAGCCACAGCTTTACCATTAACTATCTATTGTGACCTCAGGCAAATCACTTAACCTTTGAAGCCTCAGTTTCCTCATCTGTAAAACAAAAATAATAATATTTGCAAACTTCATCATGGAGTGGTGAAAACCAAGTGAGGTAAACCATAAAATCCTATGCAAATGTTAGTTACTGGTTATGAGCCAAAGGACAAAAAAAGAAATCTGAGTGGCAACATCTCTATTGTCTGAACAGTGCCTGTGCTGTCTCACTGTCACTCAGGCACTGCACAGAAATGAGCAATGACAATATCACCAAGCTCAGGATTACAGATTACTTTCTTCCAAAGTACCTGGCATCCTTTCTCTTGTGTCCCCCTATCCTCCCCACTGGGCTCAAGACAAAGTAGCAATGTTGGCTGGGCAGATGCTGGGTTCAGGCGGGAGATGCACACCTCGTGCATCAAAGGAGAGCAACTCCTGACCGCAGAAGGGCCAGGGCAGAATTCCAGCGGGCTCACCTCCCTCATCTCCCTCAGGAGCGGAGAGCTTGCGGGATGTGACCATAATGTGACAACACTAACCACACAGCGAGGACAAGAATAATGTTCTCCCTCATCCACATGAGGAGGCCTTTGCTGCCCATGGAGACGCCTTCTCTCTGGCTGAGTCAGGCCAATCAGACCTTGAATACTGATGTCCTTCAGGTTTAAGTAGGAAGGAACAGTTGCACCCATTGTGAAGGTTAAGGAACTACGGCCCCGAAGGCTAAGTGATTTGCCCAAAGACTGCTGATATATCACTAGGACCTTCTGACTTAAGTCAATAAACCTGTTCACCAGTTTATATTTCTTTTCATGAATGTATAATTTACTCAATATTAATTTACAACACTGATATCCCAACTTTTTAGATCCTGCATCCCATGAGCAAAACCAAGCACAGAATCCTCTTCATTATACATACAGTACAGTGGATGGTCGTGCTGGTATATGGGTTAGGAGCTGTATACAAGTGCTGCTATATTACTATAGCATATGATCAGTAAAACACCAAAGTGTACACAAAAAATGAGATTTAAAGACACACGTCAATGCAATTTTCATACTTTTCTTGAATACCAGTAGTGAGGTGGCACATACACCCTCGGGGTATGCTTTGTAAGTCACTGTGTAGCTTCTCCATTTTCAATTATATGTACACTAAAGATAATCTTATTCAAAAAATGAGAAGACTAATGGTGTCATTTATTAACCACTATTTGTACCATAAGTACTTTCTCAAAATGTTCATAAACAAAGCTGAAAAATTCTTAAGTATTAGAGACTCCTGCGAGAGGCAGTCATAATGTTGAGATGTTGATTCTTCTATTTTGGAGACACGAAAAATTGCACTTGAGATAATGAGAAAATTTCCAGAAATTGCTTTGAGGAGTCAGAAATTTTGCTTATAGTTCTGCCATATTTATAAAATTATATCCCAACTTGATTCTTAATTTCATCTTCTCTTTCCTATTCCCACTTTCCTTTTGTTCTAATTTATTTATTTACACACACGTGCACACACACGCGCACACACTCTCTCTCTCTCTCCCTCTCTCTCCCCTTCTCTGGAATAAGGTGGACTATAACCAGACCACAGAAACCCTCAGTGTTTAGTACCCGCAGTGAGTAGAAGGCCCCACCCTTTACAGCAGACTGGGAGGAGAGCACATGCCCTCTCCCAGAGGAAGGGTAGGCGGGTGAGTGGGCAGGTGAGTGGGCGGGTGCTAAGGCCCTGCCATCAACAAGAGGACAGAGCTGTGGAGCTGCAGGGCCCACAGGAAAGGGCAAGGGCACAGGGAGGGCAGCCAAAGAGATGTTCTCCACCCCCCCACCCCAGGACCACAGCCACGCACCTCCCTTCTCCCTTGCAGTGACTTCTTCCAAGCCCTAATCCCAAATGTGTGTCTAATGCCAGATTTCCTCCCCAAATCGATGTGGCACTGTTGGGAGTGGGAGTCCTGTCAGGAGACCTGAGTCCTAAGAAACAGGGTTCCCAGCCCGGTGCTCTCTCTTCATGGGGTGTGACCTGCACTGGGTGGCTGAACGTGTCAGGGTTTCAGAGTCTTCAGTCCAATGTGTCAGGAAAGCCCGCCTGGGTCACCTCATGACTACTGCGAGGTGATGGAGATGAAAGTACTGTGCAAACTGTAAAGAGCTCTAGGTGTTATGACCACTGTTGCTGTTACTGTTGCATTGGGGCGAGTCATGTTGCTGCTCCAGGGAAGAGATCTGACTCTCTTAGTTGCTAAACAACGTTAAAAACAAACAAACAAAAAAAGTCTTCCTGGGAGCTTGAGTGTAAGCAACATACCCAAAAGAAACAAAAGGGCAGTGAAAGGTAGCACGTAGAGGAACTAAGTGCTATTTTCTTAATCAAGCCCTACCTCAGGGTCACCACGAGGGAGGGCATCAATACACGACCTCAACAAAGAACTTACGTGCCAAAGTGACTGAGGAAAGCAGCAATATACTCTCTTCTTTTGTGGTATCCTTGAATCACATACTGCACCTGGAATAGGAACCCCAAAACTGAGAAGTGGAGTAGGAAATTATTAAATGCTTTATTATGTAAAATTGCAAAGATTCAGAGAAGTAGAAAGAATAGTAAAAGGAACACTCATATTCCCACACCTATATTCAACAACTCTGAATATTTTACCAAGTTGCTTTATCCAGCCATCTACCTACCAATCAACCTATCAATCAATCTTGCTGAAACGTTTCAAAGGAAATTAGAGACATCATGACAGTTTGCCCCTAAACACTTCAGCATGCAGCTCCGAAAAACAAGACACTTTCCTACATAACCACAATACTGTTATCATACTCAACAAAACTTAGTAATCATTCTCTGAACTCGTTTGGTATCCTGCCCATTCTCAAAACTTTCCAATTGTCCCCAAAACATTTTTTTTTAAAAGCAGGGTATAAACAGGGCCAATCTAGAATTTAATCTAGAAAGTCTTTTACTCTAGAATAACAGTGCCTCCTGTGGGGTGTGTGTGTGTGTGTGTGTGTGTGTGTGTGTGTGTCTGTGTCTGTGTGTGTGCCTGCACACATGCACATGATACTGACTGTTTGAAGAGACCGGGCTAGTTGTATTGTAGAATGTCCTGCATTCTAGATCTGATTGTTTTCTTCCTTTTTCCTCTACCTTCCACATTTCCTATAAATTGGAAATTAGAGCTAAAGATGTGATTAGATTCAAGTTAAATATTTTGGGCAAGAAAACTCCATAGGTGATACTGAGTTTGATCATCAGTTAAAGCGATGACAGGCATACTGCTCCACTTTGAAGGGCTGTTTTCCCTTTGCCATAGTGAGTAATTCAGGGCTGTACCTCTCGAAGCATGTGAAGATCTAGCTCCCACCAACCTGTCACCTAATGCTTTTAGGATCTGGTGAGATCCTTGTCTGAATGACTTCATTAGGGCCTGAAAAATGGTGATTTTTTTTAAACTCTATCATTCTTTCTGCATTTAAAAAAAGGTCTCCCTTTTTATCAGCTGCAATTCTCTGTAAAGAAGAGCTTTCTCTCATTAAATGGGTCTATTTGGTGATTCTGAACTATATCGCCTACTGAAAAGGCATGATAATGCTTAATTCTTTCTTTTTGAATTTGTAATATTCAGAATAAGGAGTGTTACAACAGGATATTTTATTTTGCCTTTCTATATTTCCTTGTTATCAACGACAGTTTCTACAAAAAAAACTGTGAACTCATTAAGCTAGGCATCTGAAAGTTAGTCACTAACCCATCAGCTTCTAACCCAAAAATACATTCCTTATAAAACGTCTTCAAAACGGCTGAAACAGTGGGAGAAAGAGACCCCCCAAATTGTTTATATTGGCTGCAGCCACACTGAGTTTCCATGAATAACAAAAGCTTGAGATAAAGTGCTTGAAATAACCTTGACACAATTGGTACTGATAGCCATTTTGTACCCTTTAAAAGTAAAACAATTCTATTTATATAATAGGGGTTTTATGTCAATTTATAAAAACAGTGCTTGCTTTGCAGGCTTAATGCAGGATCAGAAATGTTATTTTGGGAAAAGAAAAACAGATGATAAGTTTGCTTAAGTGGCTTTGTTTAAAAAGGGGATGAAAACAGTTCTGTATACTTGATTTTAAAAACAGAAAACCATTTTAACAGAAACCCACAACAAAACTGGCTATAAAGATAGATTCCAACGTAATTATGGAAATTCATTTGAAGAGACTGTTTCTAAAAGCAGCCCATACTGTCCTCGTTTGTAGCAAGCAGAAGAACATCAGTTTTAAAAGACAAGTAAAATTAATGAAAGGGAACCAGATAAGAAAAACTGACTGATTCTTGTATTTCTGGGAAAATAGTATTATAATCTTTTTGAGGAAAATGTATGACTAGAAATTAATCTCAATTGGAGAGCTTTATAAAAGCTTTTCTTCTCGGTTCTGGAAGACCAAATTTGCATTTTCCTCTATCATACTGGGACCCAGATTTGAAGGCAGTGCAAAGTCCCACAGTGTAAATAAGACTTCTGTCCTCCGATCAGTTTGGTAGGAGCGCAGAGGCTGGGGGAATTTGGTCCCAATGAACAGCCAGTATTCCGTAAGAGTTAAATGCCCGGGAGCCTGTGCCAAGACCACAGACTGCATAGTTGCCAGATCTTAGTTTCTCTGACATTTAAAAAATAATACTGAAGCCTCTGAAATATTATTATACTTCTAAAATATTTGCTATATAGAGATGAGCTATTTTTTGAATGAAAGAGACAAACAAAAGATTTATTTTCCAAGCCAATGTGAATAAGTCAATAGGAGCAAAGAATACAGCACTTTGGGACTTCAGCAAACTGAATCAGTCCACGTGGGAGAGGAAAGAAAGTCAGTGTTGCTTGTGGATTAATATCTCCAGCTTTCAGCTAAATATACTGGCTGGACATTAACAAGTATATTCTTGCACTTTTTAGAAATACCTGGCAATAATTATTAATGCAAACTCAGCTACTTGCCAATGTAAGGGCTCATTAACGCAGCTACAAGAAAGCTTTAGATAGTCTGATGTACCTGGCTACAAGACCAGCTGGCCTGGAAATCCTGCCCCTAGAAGCAGGACTCTGGTAAACTGCTCCTAGCAATGACAGGGGAATCAAGAACCAACTATTAAAAAGCACAGCATAGAAAAGAGGAAAGAGATGAGGGCAGCTCCACAAAATTACCCTGATATTAACCAGTGGTGTGCACGCATGTGTGTGAGTGTACACACACACACACACCCAGAGGCATGCAGCAGATAACTGGGAAATGAGAGTTCAAAATTTTTCAACCACAAGAAGGTGTAAGGGCCAGCAAAAACTTAGGGCATAAAGGACATTCAAGAGAGAGGAGATATAAATTTAAAAGATAAAGCTAAGACTGGAAGAGGAGGTCAGAATCCTCAGAAAAGGAAGGGAGGCAAAGAAATAGGGAGAGAACCCGATGAAATGTAATTCGAAGTGGGAAAGGCAGATGTCAGATGGAGGATGCAAATGAGAGATGGGGTGGAGAGGATGGTGCCTGCTCCATGAGGCGGGGTAGGTGCTGCACTGACGGAAGGAGCCTCACAAGGTGGGAGAGTTAGGGGACTTGCTTTTACCTTGTTGGTGAGTAGGTGGCACACTTGAGGAACATAATCAATGAGACATCCTCCTCCTGGAAAAGCTGGGATATGAAGAGCTGAGGAACCTCCAAGTGCACTGAAAGGACAAGAGTACAATGGACACTTCTCTTAAGGCTCAAACAATTTAAGAAGTGACACCCCCCCAAACAGACCTGGCTTCTCTTATCAGAGGAAACTGCCCATCAACTGCCTGAATTAAGGATGATGGGTGGGAACAGGGGCTTCACTTTATGATCACGTTTTTATATTTTAATCCATTTCATGGTACACACGACTGATGACTGATGACGACTCATGATCCTATCACACGCAGCAAATTCTGACTGGCATGGGTAAATGTTTTATCAGCATTCATGGGTTGTGCCTGTTACTGAAACACAGACTTTTATTCTCTTGATTATGCCCAATTCAGCTCTGGGTAAAGTCCTTCAGTAAACACCTTAAATGAGCACAACTGAATTGATGCCACAGTGCAATGGGGTACCAAAGGGACTTGTTCTGCAGCGCCCCAGCTTTGCTGCCTTGGGCAGCCTCCATGGGCTTTAGTTTCTTCATTCTTAATGTGACACAGGTGGTCGAGGGCAGGGGTTGCAAACTCTGGGGTCTGCCCAGTCCAGGCAGATTTTGTAAATGAGTGGAGAGAACAGGGTAGGGACTCAAAGCAACTGGAGATTTGCACACAGTGGGAAGGACTCTCACTGCTCAGCCCCAGTTGAGCTCTGACATATAGGAACACAAGCCTGGTCTTAACCGGATCCTTATTTTTCAAGTGAAGCCAGAAATCCAGATGATTTACTCTCTCAATTTTAAAATGGTGGCAACTAATTCAATATTTTCTGAAATATGATGCTACCTGGTCTTGTGTCTGTGGCCCAATATGGGCAGGAAGTGTGCAACTAGTACCAGTAAACACGGATAATCAGTTCATCTAAACAAGAAGGTGCGGTCAAAAATCATCAACCCAAGCATGAAGGCATAATGTTGATCCAGAATTAGTTACCAGAAATTTCCTGGTGATTTAAATTAACCAGCCTATGATTATTAAAAGAAATTCAGAACCTTACAGCATGCATTTTATGTATCATCCTTAATCTTGATATCATCTTTTTTCCTACTCTCACTTCCCTTTGGTCCTAACTTTTCTTATTTGAATTTTATTTTAATGTATATATTTCTGTAAGCCCCTTAAACCCTCTGTAATACGATGGAATATACAAAGACCCCTGAAATCCCTTAATGCTGTAATTATTCATTATCCAAGTCCCTGCAGTTATAAGGTTGTTAATGGTAGCAAAATGTTTCATAATAACAGTCTAGAAAATCATTCTTACATAGTTCCACGTAGATAGATTCAGTCTAGATTTTGTTATACAAAGAACAATATATGTGACTACTGAAAGGACTTCAGACCCAGCCCATCTCCCTATTGATTATAGATTTATGAAACTAATTTTTCAGGGTAAAGATGAATATTATGTTTACTCATTTATGGGAATGAAAAATCCCAAGAAACAAAATTCCAGGTGATGTGAAGAACTCAGTATGGAGTGGAAATATTCACCATTGACTTACTCTGCTCAGGTGATAAGTTAAAAGCACAACAAATCTGACAACTGAGAAAATTTGGAGACAGCGTTTGACTAAGTATGACATTAATGAATCATGTGCACCCTGCAACCTCACAGACTCAGCATGAACACCAGCCACTTCCATTTGCTGCTCTCAGAGCAGACACTGGATTAGATGTAGCCTCGACTCTGAAGACGACTAGGAAAATTCCTGTGACTTTCTGTGAACTAGGGGAAGGCTTTCTGTCCCCTCTTCTGTATGCAAAAGTACACAAAGGGCACACCTCTCACTGGAAGGTTCTAATGGTTCCATTAGGATGCAAAACTGATAAAAGAAGAAAATTCTATAGTACAAGAAAAATAAATCCAGTGTTTATAGCCTGTGGTTATTGGTGAAATGTCTGTATAAGAGAGAATACAAGATCCAGGCTTCCCATAGGTTACCTAGAGGAGCAATCCTTGGAATAATAAAACTCTAAAAAAAATAATTTGGACAGTTTTACTGATAGTAATGGGCTTTGTATATAATATTACCAGGTTAGTTCTTAATCATTCACTAAATTGAATACAAGGAGTGAAAATAGTGTGTGGGTAATCCTCTAAACTTGAAACTCTCTCTCTGCTTCTGAAATATAGCCACTAAACAAAAACTACCTATAATAACGGGAAGAAGCAGAGGGATGGAGAAATCCAGAGACCAGCTGCTTTGTGCCAGGCCCACCTCCCTGCTCTCAGCTTCCATGATTATTGAGGACTAACACTAGTTGCTAGGTGCTTTCTCAGTATCTAATCTAATCCTCTCCACAATTCAATGAGCTGGGAATTACCACTATAATTTACAAGTGAAGAAATCGAGGCTCAGAGAGCAGAAAAACTTTCCTTGGGTTCACACAACTGGGAAATGGTAAAGTCAGATCCAAACTCGGGTAGTGAGCCTGTCGCCAGAGTCCACACTTTTGTTACCGCTAAGTTGCATGCCTGCCTGAGAGCAGGGGGATTCTCATCCTGAAAAAGCTACAGGGATGGAAACAAACAGCAGGTCTGGCTACCAGTGAGCAGGGTCAGGATCCAAGGAGGCTGAAAGGCTTCTAGAAGCTCTCAGACGACCACAGCAGCAGGCACCCTGATGGACAGCTCATCTCCCCTGTGACTTTCCATGCAGCAGCCAGGCAAGCATTCCTCTCAATTTTGTCCACACCTCAGGACTCTCCCACCTCAGCCATCAAACAACCGGACTCACTGGCTCTTGGTTATGAGGGACCAATCACTCTGTCATGTCTGACTGTGAATGACTTAGTCGTGCAGGGTAAGCCTCAATGTGTGAAGCACTTCAGATACTCTGAAGGGTAGTTTTACCTGAGAGTTTTTTTTTTTTTTAAAGGACACCTACTGCACCCTTTATTTAACTCGGTACTTTCTTTGCTGGCGAGGGGACTGAACCTGACTTCCAGCGTCACACACTGATAAGTGCTGCTGATTCATGTATAAATATCCGCCCCCTGGGTAAATATTTAACAGGCTTGCTATAGCCTGAATGCTGCCCTGATCATGCTAGATAAACAGAGTCAAGTGCCATGAAATAAAAGAGCTATTATGTTTTCAAAGGGTGCAAGATGGAGGAGGTATGGCCTTGTGATCTCTCATTCTTTAATATTCATGAATCAAAAAACACGAGGCTGAGCATGTACAACAGAGATTCCAGGCCTCACTCAACTATTCCCAGGAATGCAGGGCTGGCTGGCGAGAAGGCAGGGCCTCACTAACCCACAAAGTGGCTGAGTTGGGGCTGGGGAAGGGCTGAGGAGTAGATGAAAGGGACCACTTGCTCTTGACTCCTCTGATCTCTAGAGCGATGCCAGGAGAAAGCAGGGCTAGAAGGTGGGGGAACTAAATTGGTGCAGCAGGGTCTTGGGCTGAACTTGGGAGAAGAAAAGGGTGAAAAGGGCTGCTTTGATAAGAAAGTAGCTTCTATCTCTTTATGGACTGTAGTGAAACATGAAATTACCTGATAATTCTAAGAACTGAAACTGAATCTTTATATATAAACTAGAAGGACAAGGCCAGAGTTTGAGAAAACCTTCCAATAGTGAAGCTGAAGAGACCGAAAGGTAGCCAGAAACAAGCATTTCCAGGTCTGCCTCACTGGCTCTAACAGTCAAATGTAAGAGCTGTCTATGTACTAATACTACTGTTTCCATGCGAATACAGCTAACTGAGCCTTTGTGGACCTTGCTCTATCTGCAAATATTCAGCACATTTCTGGTACTGAAGATCTGACTTGGCCACAGTTCATCAGCATAAAGGAAATATTTCTGAGCATTCTGACATGGAAAAATGCAGGGAGTCAGCCTGTCTGCAAGCTTGACTTGAGACAATGAGGTTTTAACCCTTTATGGAGCAGCAATCCCTCCTCCCCATGTGGGATTTTACCTTACTGGCCAAATAAAATGAGGAGAACATGATTCGGCACTGGAGAAAACCAGAAGGGTCGATGATTTACAACTGTAGTCCTTGCTTCTGCCAAGTTTGCTCTCTCTGGCCCTACTCAACCTTCCCATCAGTACAGTAGAGACAACACTACTTTTAAAAAGACCCATCTCTCTCAAGGGTTAAAGGGTTAAATAACAATTAGAGTTACACTAATTTTAAAATAGCACCAAGCACTCCAAGAGAGACGTTATTCTAGAATCCATCTTGTGTGAATGTTCTACATCCAGGGTTATGTCCAGGTGCTGCCAGAGATGCTTGGATCAGCCTTAGTGTCCTGTTTTGCCTTTGAATCGGGTTTTAAGGGAGAGGAAGTTGACATGGTTGCCTCCCCCACAGTAGGATTTAGGGGAGTGCTGGACGGTAAAGCATGGAAATGGGGAATTTCAAGGATGACAGGTGGACACCAGCTGCCCCAAGTTCCCAAGCTAAGAAAAATCCAAAGGAAAGGTGAGTCTCCAATTCAATCCAACAAACATGAACTGTATGCCTAAATCCGTTTAAGGATTTGAGCTTTCCATTCTGAATACGTGATGAGGCACTGCTGTTAATTCCTTTCAAGGTAGAGAAACGCCAGTGACCTCAAGAATTTAGGGCACGCTATAATGACAGAGTACGTTTCCTGGTGGCCTGCCAGGAAAACCATTACAATCAAACAAAAGTCATTGTTATTTATTGAGTATCCACCTTTGCCAGGCACTCTACTAGGCATTTCATTATCTTTAAACCTCTCAACAACCCTGCCAAGTAGACCTAATTAGCTCAACTTCCAGATGAGGAAACTGAGGTTCTAAGAGTCTAAGTATCTTGTCCAAGGTTAGCCAGCAAGTATGCTGCAGAGATGGGCTTGAATCCCAGTCTTTCTGGTTCCAAAGCCAGCATCATTCTTCTTTAGAAATTCTTTCATAGAAAGATGGTATGGGATTTCTAGAACTCTAATCCCTACCTATATACTGAAACAGTAGTATAAGTGGCTAAAGTTATTCTCAAAAAGCTTCCTCCACCTCGTCATCTCAGTTTT